ATCATGCATATGATCCACTGCTGAAATAGTGAGAAAATTCATTTAAAAAAAAACACTCTAAAAAGCAACCTTATAATACGATGTTGTGTCATCCCTATAATTTTCATCCCATTCCGTTTCACTAGCTCCGCCTTCTTCTTGTTTGCCACCTTCAACCAACCCCCTCCATTCTCCGGTAGAGAGAATCTCACCCTCTTTCATCCCCTTCCTCGCACCCCCCCCCCCCCCCCCCCCCTCTCTTCCCGCAGGAACAAGCAAATCCGCTACTCAGGCCGTTCCAGGCCTTGCAAATGGCCCGATGGCCCATCCAGCCAGCCCACCGCCCGCCCCGCCCCGCCGTGAAAATGTTGAGATTATTTCCTGATTCTCTGCTGGAGCGGGCGGGGCGGCGGGCGGGGCGGGCTTTTAGCCCGACAGAGCCTCATCAGGAAACGGACCGTAGCAGCGCGGGCGGGGCGGAGTGGGGCGGCTGGAGCTGCTGGAGTGAAAATTATTGACGAAGGTATTAAGAGGAAAAGACGGAGGTGGCGCGGCCGTGCAGGACAGCACCGGGCAGAGCCGACGCGATTGGGGGCAATGGGGGCGAGAAGAACAGAATGGGTTGAGCTGAGGAGGGAGAGAGAGAGAGTGAGTGAGGGGTGCTGGTGAAATTATCCGAGTTTTGGGCGGCCGCGCGGCCCGCGGGACGACAGTTGCAATAAAACGACAGCACAATAACGCAGAAACAAACGCCCTGGCCGGAACAATGCCGCAGTTAGCCGGCTTTGCCCGCACTTGTCCACATAAATTATGTTTATCGTAACTGCTGGCTCGACTGCTGCCCCCCTGCTCCGACTATACCCCTTCTACATGCCGCCTAGCTTCCCCGACCCCTCCTCGCGCCTCTCTCTCTCTCTCTCTCTCTCTCTCTCTCTCTCTCTCCCCCAACCTGCTTGGGCCGCCTATCTCCTGTGCCGGTCCCGCCCAGTAGCACACTACATAATTAGACCGGGAGTAGTATTGTACAAGTGACACAAACACAGAGAGAGGGAGAGAAAGTGGAAGGAGGGGAAGAGAACCAAGAAATCGTTTAGCGTCAACCAGCACAGCTATACTGTTAAACAAAATTCTATAGAATATTTTTTCCCAATTCTTTGTGACAACTTTTTGAGGGTCACATCATACACCTCACAGCAGTAGCCGGGGCGGCTGCTGGGAGCGACAGATCGCGAAGTCAGCACTACCTGTGTAAGCGCACGTGTGGGAGCTGAATTGGGTGAGGAGAGAACGAGAAGGGAGGGGAGAGTAAGGGAGATGGAGCATGGAGGGAGCCAAAGGGAACGAGAGAGAGAGAGAGAGTCGACACACCCCGGTCCAACGCGTTCTCCCCCGCCCAATCACTATCCACATCCTCTACCTCCCTCCTGGCGCCCGGCGCCCCAACATCGGAATCCGATGCACCGACAGGCTGCGCGACAATGTCCCATACCACCCCCACCCCTCCCCCTCCGGCCGTCCTCGTCCCCGCCACCGCCACCAACCCCGTGGTGATCGGAACAGAACGGGGGCAGCGTGGCGCGCGTCGGGCCGTGACGGGGCGTGGCGTGGCGGGGTGCACCATGGCTGCGGAAAGGCCAACGGGTCGCCCCCTCCCCCTTCCTTCTCCCGAGGCATCCCCTGACTGCAGCTGCCTCGACCGGTCCACTCCGGCTCAGGCCCTGCTCCTCCAGCCCTCCGGAGAGAAGAGGAGGAAGCCCTCCCGCCTCCCCGGAGAGGCGGAGAGGAGAGGGGATGCTCACAAGTCTGTCGAACGGAGTGGACAAGGGGTGCGGAGGGGTGGAAGGCCTTCAGCGGCGCCCCCTGGGGGATGTCCCCCCCGGTCTAGCCCCGGCGGCGGCGCGCCGGTCAACGGCGCCGCTGGCCTTGGTCTCGTTCGACAGGGCTAGGGGATGACGCACCACCCGCGCACGGGGGAACGCAGCAGTCAGCTAGCTAAGCCTCACGTAGAGCGCGCGATACTTTTGAAAAGCCCGCGTTAACTAACCGAGATTTGTGTAAAACCCAGGCTCGTTTCCTCCCCGCCGCGGTTGTGTGGTTGTGTATATATTATAAACCTTTCACCCTCCTGTCGCGTCTATCTCTATCCGATCGCCCGACCCCCCCCCCCCTCAACCCCTTCTCCGGACGCGGCCCCGAGCGGGTACTGACGTGACAGGCATCCCCGATCCATCTGGCCGCCCTGCAGCGGGGCGCAATGCTGCGAGAGAGAGAGAGGGAGGGAGAGAGGGAGAGAAAGGGAGAGAGAGAGGGACAGAGATGGAGAAAGCGAGGGAGAGAGACGACGTGACGTCTCTCCCTTCTTTGTCTCTCTCTTTCTCTGTGTCCGCGACTGGGGCGGCTAGCTGAAATCGGCAGCAGATCCTGCAGAGCCAGCAGCAGTCTCTGACGAGTCGCAATTTATTCTTCTTGGTATCCGCCCCCCGTTCCCCGCTCGGCGGAATACAACAAGCTGCAGCCGCAGGCAGAAAGGGGCAATCGCAGCAGCGATAAGAACAACCGGTCGGCGGCAATCAGAGAACAAATTACTACAAAATGACACCGTGGTAGCAAGCAGTATACGTAGCTATGCTATCGTCCGAGAAGTGCAACCATTTTCCTCAGACCCATTCAGCAAAATGACGGAAGCTTGACGCCTGCGAGGAGGAGGGTAGGCCATCCCGCGGAACACGCTTGCATTGCAGGCAGGATGTAGCATACCGTCAGGCGCTAGGCTATACTTGTCGGGTTTGTAGCGACAGACGTACTTTATGGATACGGAGCGAGATTTTTAACCACCGCAACAGCCAGTCAAGCGAACGGTCGAGTCGCCCCACTCTACGTTTCTTACAAAGAACTGCTCTTTGTAACGTACTAAGGATTTGGAACCTTTGGAATACAAACAAATCCTTTGTATTACGAAGGGCTAGGCTTTGTAATACGAAGAGCGTGCGTCTGTTCGCAAACTGGCGCTCTTTCTGATAAATACGTTTGTAATATTGTTGCTCCAGCACGTTACAAACCCAATTCTTCGTAATGTGAAGACCAACTCTGTGTATGGAATTAAGAGTGCCCGCAGAGCGGCTGCCGCCCGCGCTGCACGGGTTAGGCAGTCCGCAGACGCGCTGGCCGGTTGGGTTGCCTACCCGGCGGGAGTCTCGGGACCAAAGAGGGGGCGACGACGGTATGGCAAGTGAGAAGAGAGGAAGATATGTCTCGCGTTCTCGTTCATGGCAGCCATGTCGTTGGAGTCTCGCGACGGAAAAAATACAAAAAGTCCCGCTCCAGACAACCTTTCTTCTCTCTCTCCCTCTTTCGCTGCAACGATACTGGCCTGGACGCGGCTGGACGACTGCGGAAACGCAACATGGGGGCGGCAGCAGCAGCAGCAGAGGGGTACCAGCCCTGATCGCAAGTGGGGCGACACTCGACGTCCCAACTTTTATCCACATTCGTCAGGAAAAGAGTGGACCCCCCACCCTCCGTCTCTTCCCCGTTCCCCGCTTCCTTTCCTTCCTCTCTGACTTTTTCGGCCAAGACGGCGACGGCAAGCTGGCGCGCACTTTGCGACAGCGCACAGCGACACAAAATTTATAGATTATTTATATTTGTCGCAGAGAAGATGAAATCGGAGGAAATGCGCCTCTGTTTTCCGTTTTACGACCCTGGACGCGTACTATACGCGATGATCAAGTGTGTTTACGATATGAGAATATTCATATAAAATGGATGATACTTTAAATTCTATTATTTGGAGAGCGCAACAAAAAGGTTCATTACCGAAATGTTTCCTGACGTTCCAAACGACGGGTTTTACAATACAAAACATCAAGAGGCATCCCAAATCAAATTTCAAAATATTCAGCACACAAAAGAGACCGACCGAGGAACCCACGTCTGCATAATCACAAAGGAAGACTACTCACGCCTCATCCTACTGGTGCGCCGGGCAGCTCAACATGTCTCGCGCCACACGCGTCGCGCCACGCTACGCCACGCTACGCCACGCCGCGCGACGCACTTTCGCGGCCGAATACGTAAACGCTACACGACGCGGGGCGGCCAGAGGGGGTGGGTCTGCTTGCTCTCCACGTCCGTCGGGGCTGGAGCTCGGCGCTCGACTGAGGCTGGCTGGACAGGACGCGCTGGCGCGCCACCCCGGGCCGAGACGGGGTGGGGGTGCGCGCCCCCAACCACCCCTTCCAACCCCCCGCCCCGGCCGTCACCCAGACGATCAGCGCACCACGAGGGGAAATTTTCTCCGCGGATTCCTGTGGAGAAACATCATATACGGTCTGGAGGAAGTCCATTTTTTCGGGGTCCACCACGCAAGGGTATTATTCTTTGCTCTCTTTCTTCTCTTACTCTTTTTTATTTCCGCCCCCGCACCACGCGAGCGCGAGTTTTGGGGTCGGACCTGAGAGGTCGTAAAAGGCAAACGAGGTCAAGTGAGGGACATACACCTTTGTGACTCGTTTATACAGAGAACGTCACTGAAAGGGAGGGGTTGCGCATAGGATTTTTGTAATTTACGAAAAGACAGAAATTCCTCTTTTATGTTGAGCACAGGTTTTGGCAGAGTACACAAAGAATGACAGATCAGAATACGGAGTATTCAGAATTTTACGGTAAACTTTCTGTTGTTTGGGAGGACGCACCTATAGCAACTCCGCCGAGGCAGTTCACATGAACGCCGGGTGGGTAGGCAAAACAACGGACAGGTAAGCAACAACGTTATCAAGACGCGTGGCACCCCGCTGCTTGGCAAAGCAATCGTGTGCCTTGACTTCCAGACCAGGTGGTGTATCCTTCCGCGCCATCTGCGCCGGTCGGTAGGCAACCCATTCACCACTCGAGTGCCTGGGCGTCGCTGAGTACAAGGAGTGGCAGGATAAGAAACGGCGAAGTCCATTTGCATTGGCCTGTTTACTGTACATGTCGTGAGAGTGACAGGGATGTCAGTGGGTTTTCTAGACGACAAAATATTGAAAAAATACTTAAGATTTATTTACAAGCAATACTGTACAATTAAACCTGAGCAAGGAAATTATATATACTATTTACGATGAATATTTACATTTATCCTTTTGTACAAACATGTTTCCTCGCAATTTATGAGGATGAGAGATCCAATGAGGAACCGAACTCAAAGTAGTTGTTTTGTTAAAGCACAATATTAAATGTCACTGCAAAAGTTCTTTAAGAACAGGCGCGCATTTTTTAGAAAAAATCTTGAAATACACAAAAAATATATTCTCTCACGAAAGGCTGATTCTTTAAAATTTAAATCTTAAAGTTTAATAACAGAAAATATCATCAGTAATTTGTTTTGCTTTTTCATTATGTTGTTTCTTGACAGTTGTGTACAAATAAAATCATCAGTCTTGCATTAGTCCTTATTTTATCACATGAAGAGCTATCACAGAATCCCGTGCGAACGGAAGGACAAAGAGGCCTCCAGAAGGAAAACAAAACAGCAAAGCTGTCAATAAATTCTAAAAAGAAAAAGAGACCATCTCGACCTTACGTCCGCACTGCTGCATAGGTAACTACGGAGGCGCAACGCTCAATAAGGTTGAATGCAATTGTATCGCGGTTATCTATAACACTAACTCTTTTTGTCACGATTCAATAAACTGCTGAGTTTTCCATCATCCAGTTTTATTTTTTAATTTATCTACTGCATCCAACTGAGTAAAGAGGGGAGGGGGCATGAGAGCGAGGGTCTAATGCAAGGAAGCGCTACGATTCCCGCGAACGGAAGGGAAGAGTAGACTGGTTGTCTGCCAAAACAAAAACCAAACCTTAAGGAAAACTACTTTATCAAATAAATATTACGAAATGAGCGATTTAAAAACAACAACACTTCAAACATGTTAACAAAAACACGGTGAAAGTGAAAACCGTCTTGGAAACCAACAACACTTAACAATTCTTTGGCAATTTGAAACAACCTCAGTTCTCACACGCCACTCAAGAAAGGTCCTCCCGCAACAAGGTCCCTCAGATGGACAGCGAGGGCCGCTTCTTCCGGTCCTGGGGCCGCTTTCCCGCCGCCTTGCTGAAGATGTTCCCCAGGACCTTGGACACCGAGTTGACGCCGAGCTTGCGCCGGATGGGCAGGGTGCGGAGCAGCTGCAGCGAGCGCGCCTCCCGCAACAGCGACTGGAAGGCGAGCGACGAGCCGGCCCAGTGCTCGGCGGCTGACACCTCGTAGAACTGGCAGCCGAACTGCAACGACAGTTCCTGCCCTGCGTCCACAGCCACCTGCCTACAGCAGAAAAAAAAACACATCTCTTCGTGTTCATTTTTGTCTCATTTTTCAATCTCCTTCGCTTCCATCCGCCGAGATCTTCTTTCAATAAGTTGAGAAGAGTCGCTATCCCCATCTTCAGCCGATTGAGTATAGCAGCAGTATGAGCAGAGCGTGTGGTTATGTTATAGCGAGTTAGGAAATAAGACATTAGCGAGTCACAAGCGAGTGGAGCGGTGCTTCATAAAAGTGTGGTATGCGCCGTTATTAAAGGATTAGATTTGAACGAGAAAAAAATAGTGTGAAGAACCATAAGGAAATAGGTCGCAATTAGTGCAGTAAAGGGGATCAGAGGGAAAAAACAGAGGCGTTTGAATAGCGAGCAAAACTGTAGCAAGCAGCAGTCACAAATGTAGCGGATCGAGTTATTTGTGATAACCATAGCCCAGCAGTAGAGGATCCTAGAAGGGCTTTTCTACCTGCCGAAGAAGACTGGCTCACCTGGAGTGGTCTAAGTCTCGCTTGTTGCCTAGCAGCAGAGTGGTGCAGTAGCCCGGAAGCTTGGCGGCGGCTACCTTCTCAAGGAGGTCTCGGGCGTCGTGGAAGCTCAGCGCGTCGCACACCGAGTACACCACGACAAAGGCCTCCCCCCAGCGCAGGTGCTCGTCCAGGCAGCCCATAGCCTGAAGAGAACAGAAAAGTAAACGTAAATCATATCACTACCAAGACTCAAATCTTACACCTTGAATGCAGTACACAGCTGCAGTCTCAACGTTGAATTTGTTCTCAATACATCTAGTACATTTCAAGAAAAAATGTTTACAATTATTCTCACAGCACTTGGCTAGCCGGAAGAACACCGGAGACACTTCCCCTGCCGTTTCCGGACCGGCCGGCGCCGCGGAGCTGGGCAACTCGATATAGCGACCATCGGCAATCGATACCCCCATGAAGCGGCACAAAGAGATTACATCAAATGTCGCGGTTTCGAATTTGCCTTTTAACCCAACCTTCCTCGTACGGTTTTCAATCATTTCCTCCTCCGGCGTAGCGTGCGCGCGGCTCTCAGAAAGAACAAGAGTGTGAATCCTTGAGGCGTGTGTTCTAATTGCGGCCTCGTCACCCACCGTAAATGTCTCATTAATGAATGAGTGACCAACTTTTGTCTTTACGAGCCCATTTTTCTCCTCCGCCGCCTCCATCTCTGCACCGCGCCCTCGGGTAGTGCCTGGCGCACGGGACCTCTGCGGCAATGGGGCGCGACACGACACGATCGTAAAGAACCTCGTCGCACAATAACATAATTCTCGTACTCACCGCACACTTGGACGTGTCCAAAATCTCCACCTCGGTGGTCACGCTGTCGAACGTGACACAGTGCCGGTACAGGAAATCTGCGCAAATAACATCAAACCAGGGAATTATACATTCCATATACGATGTGTGCGGATGTAACTGACTTATATTTAAAAAAAAAAAAATCTGTCAAAACCGAGGCCAAAACATAATGTGTTATTGCTTGGTGTTGCCTATGAGGGGCCACGGCCACGACACAGCGGCGCTTGTTTGATTCCATAAATGTTAGTTTTATTCATTTATTTTTCCTCTTTTTGGCGGCATGTAAAGCGGCTTATGCTCATATTCTTTCCGACGTTCGTTCATTTGTTCCGAAGCTTGCCCTTGATCGTAAAGTACATGCCGCCACTGTGAGTGTGTGTGTGTGTGTGGCTGTGTGTGTATGTGTTTGAGAGAGAGAGAGAGAGAGAGAGAGAGAGAGAGAGAGAGAGCGAGAGAGAGGCAGGTGCCGTTGCTCCCACCCGGCCCACTTTGAAGCAACACGCCGCAACATTTCCCTACCGAGACTCAAATTCTTTGAGGCCCCTCCTTTTGCCGCCACCGTGTGCGCACAAGCAGCAGCAAGGCTCAATCATAATAAATTTCAACCCTTTCCCCTCGCTCGCCTCCCCCTCAGAACCCCACCCGCGCTTTACCCTACAAACGACCGCGGGATGACAGAAGGTTCTGAACCCCAACAGGGTTTGCACAGCCTGAAACACGGACACACTCACGTGTGCCAAAATTAAACGCAGTTAAGTTAATTGGACGCGGAAAGGTCGTCGTGTTGGGCGGTCGGTGACTAAATTGAAACCACCACCGCTCCCGGGTGTAAACCGGACCGTCCACTCGGCAGCGAACATTGGTGCAATTTTTACTTTATTTCAATAATAAGGAAAAATAAATAGTTCAAGAGATAAGCTGTTTATGTCGTGTTGTCTGCTTTTGTCGTCTAAGTCTTCTCCCGCTCTTCTGCCGCTGCTCCGCGCCCCAGGAAAGGCAGGGAAATTGGTTTCTGCAATCCCCTTGCTCGCGCGACTAGCAGGCGAGCAAACGAACAAACAAACCGAGTCTCTCTTTCTCTCTCCCCCTCACTCCTTTTACCCAATCGTATTGTCACCACGAAGAAGAGCTCCCTCGCCTCAGTTGCGGTCGCTGGTGGGTGACGATTCCACTCCGGGCAGGAGAACGAGGGTAGGGGTGGGGGGAGGGAGAGGGGAGACGCAGGTCGTATCTGTGCCAAATGCATCGCCTCCGCGAGCCTTGATAGCCTGAGCAGCACTGCACACACACAGACACACACACACACACTGCGTTTGGGATTCCGCGCGGACCTATTGCCTCAACCTCGTACGCACGTACGAAACGACACAAACGAACAAACACGCACGCACACATATACACGGACACACACACACACACATTAAACGGGCCTTTAGGGAGCCGGTAAGACGCGCGCGCACCAAGCGCGGATCGTAAACAAGGCAACGAGGAAAATGGGGGAACGACGACTGTGCTCAATAAAGTAAGTGCCGCATCTCTCGATTGAAAATAGCCCTCGGTTACATTACAAAGCGGTGTCACACATGCCGCGGGCCACCCAAATAACACAGTACGCTGGAAGAGAAGAGGGGGTGTGGGAGGAGGCTTTTCAGATGACTATTCAATGCATTGGCCGCGTCACGTAAAAGGAGCATCGTTTGCTAGCTAAAGCTGCCATATCAAAATTAAGGACCGACAGAGAAGTCAGCAGACTGCGAAACAGCGCTTGTCGAATATCTTTGTAAGTACCTTCACATGGGTATTTTTGGTAATCAATGTTCCACCCCTTATTCTTTTTTGGAACAATGATTAGAAATACAACGATTTTTTTAAAAATAAAAATGAGACAAAGGATCAATAACGCTACCACGTCACCCGGCACGCAAACGCGCTGCAGCAATAGCAACGCGCGCGAAAATACATACATACATGCATACACACATGCACAAGTTATCAACGGGAGGAACCCCAGTAGTAGCCTCGCTGTTTGCGCCAGGAAGTGCCGGGCCGCACTTCGCGCAGCGTTGCGCAATATGTTGAACAAATTGAACAGCGACAATGTCGTCGTCGTCGGGTGTGGCGCCGGCCTGCAGGCCTAGCCTCATTGGGAACCACGCCATCCTATGTAATGCGATACCGAGGGGATACATAAAAAGGCTGAAATAAAAGGGACGGACGTGATAGTGCGCGCGCGCGCGCGTGTGTGTGTGCGTAGGTATGTGTGTGTACATGTGTGTGTGTGTTGTTATATCACGCTTTGCTGCGCCGAGTGTTCATCGAAACAATTTTTTATTTTAAAAAGCCGCGCGAGCGTTCCGACACATAGCCTAGTCTGCGCGTTGCAAGAATCGAATACGCCACTACACCTACTAGAAGTTGCCGATTGACCAGTCCTGCATTTCTGACAGGTAACCATTTGTCGATTATTTCCGAGTAAGATACTTTTAGCAATTTTCCTGCAGCGTATGAGCAATTAAAACACAATAAATGAGGACACGGTCGCAAAAAAAAACAAAAAAAAACAAAAAAAAAACAGTAGGCCTAACAGGATGAGCACTGCAAACTGAAGCGCGTCTTATGATGCCAAAATAGTTGCGTTCTCTGAATAACGCTCTGAAGATTAACCCCAACTAGTTTACAATGAGAGTGTTCCAAATGACGTTTCTCTCCGAGTCTCTCTCAATACTCTTCATTTTAAAAATTGAAGTCTTTCTTCCTGAACCTTCTAGATTCTAAATATTAAAGGGATTTTATCTCTTTATGAAGGAATTTTGTTCTAAGAATTTTAAAAAGTTCTCTCTCTGTCCCTCTCCCAGTTACATGATCCCCACGGCAGATAGCCCGTGGGCGCGGCGTGCGCAGTCGTGTGCGCGGTGGCATTGGTGTAACAAGAGTCACACCAGCGTATCGACTGCTCGGCCGTGTCATCCATTGGTCTGTGTCACGGGGCGCGCCGCCCCCACGCTGCGGGGGCCCAGCCCGGCACGCTGGAGGCCATACCGCACGTGCCTGAGGTGGGCTTCGCTTTCAGTATCACTCTCACTCACTGCTCGCTCAGCCTCCTCGCGCCGGTCTGGTCCAGCGGGGGGTCACACTGCCTCTCAGGATGCAGCATCCAGATCAAGCGGGATTGCTTGTGTCCTGCAGCACCTCGCATTCAAAATTGGAAAGGCTAAACATTTCTGATAACTAACACTGAACAATTTTCACCGACACTGAATTTTCATTAATGGAACATGTCAGGAATTTAAAAACAAAGTCCGCACTTTCGCCTTTACCGTAACATTTCTCAACACGCAAGTTCACTGCCTCCTCTATTCTTCATCCACTTTAAAAGCGTAAGAAAGAACTGTTGTTTTTTTTTGGTTACTTTTCGCCAGAAAGAGAAGAGCTGTTCACAAAATTAACTGAAAAATAACTATTTCAAGGGGGCAGTGTATATAAATTGCATTGGATAAAGGGGCGGTGGTGGCGCGGCCGCTGTGTCTCCGCGGCGCTGGACCGGATGAATAATGGATGCTGTTATCACGCGTGGGGTCAGGAGCGGCGGGAGCGGCGCGTCCCGTCAGGCCTACACTTGGGCTAGGTCAGGAGCAGCGCTCCGCGGAGCCCCGCCACCAGCCACTCCGCGGGCTGACGCGGCACGACTGACGCTATCGCAGCCCGGGATCGTGGAAATGGAAATTCCTGCTCCGCAAGTTCGATGCTGCTGCTTCTGCCGCAGCCACCGCGGAGCTGCCGGGCAAGAGAGCACGCCTGACGTGTCACGACCAAACGCGCGGGTTCGAACGACCGTCACAGCAAAGGGAAGGACCGAAATTTGCAAGTTTTATGCGAGGCTACGGCCTCTAGTGCTGCGCCGCGACTGCGGCTTTATGTTTCTTTCGCGAACTGCACAAAGCGCCCAATTTTAAGAGTCGATTTCCACGATACACTCCTTTTCTAAAATGTATTTCATCAAAGATTTAAAAATGAAAACCAATTTCTTTTTAGAAGGGTAGATATACTGACAATTTGCGTAAAGTACGACACTTTGATGCTTACCTGTACTCGAGCTGTACTCGCCGATGTACCTCTTGGTCAGGTAGCGCACAGTCACGGCTGCAACACAGAAACAACAAAAACAAGCATAAGAAACTTATTGCAACGCGCACAAAAATGAGCACTGTTACCACGCGGATTATTTATGACTATTGGAATAAATATTCGCGCGCCACACTTCGTATCCATACTAGAGAGAGTTGCGCCACTCAAAGTCACGCCCGCCCCCGACGAGCTTTGGCCTTGCATGTATATCCATTTCGCGTAACCGTTTCTCTCTTACGCCACCCTCTTTTGCATCTCTGCTTCCGCCCTCCCCC